GGGGCTTTCACACCTGCGCGCGCCCCGCGGCTGTCAGTCGGCGCTTCCTTAGGGAGCTGCCAGCACTGCACTGCGGGCAACGTGCAAATAAGCTTACATTTCCGTTACTCCACGGAGCTCACGGCTCCCCAAAGATGGCAGAATAAGAGCCGATGGCACGACGTGAAGAGCCACCGACAGCCACCAGCCCGGGAGCACAGCAGCAAGCGGTTACTGCTTTGGTATATCCCGGGGCGGTTACGGCCTTTCTGCTGTAAAGCGCCCACCGTTGCCCTGGACATTCTGAAAGAGGTTCGTTTGTTAAAAACCCATTTAACCAGCAGCGGACTATCTGCATTTCCGTAACAACCGCTGACGGCCAAGAAAACGTACTCGTAAACAAAGCGTTCCTCATCCCGTATCTGCAACCGCCTTTCATCGCTCCAAGGCTCCACACGTGAGGCCTCAAGAGATGGTTGGTGCCATCACCACAAACATCGGGCGAAACACGTTAAAGCTGGACGTAAACGTACCAAGAAATGCCAGGCAATAAAGAGGAAAACCAGAAATACCCGTAACAATGTTCGACTGGGTTCTGCTCAGGTATCCCAGGAATTTAGAGAAACTAATTTGAGTTTCAAAACATAAGTTTGAGACAGAGGATTGGCTCAGTTAACCCCCCAAAATCTCAAGGAGAAATGCAAAATAAACACATTTTAGAAAAAAAAACAAACCCAAAACACTTCAAATGTTTGTTTTAATTGACCCACAGCAGTTGCAGGTCAAGCTCTTTTTTTCCATGCACTTACCAGCTTGCTATATTTGGGTTCTGATGTACAAACTGCACATCTGAAATTCCCTAGTCTGAGCAGTTCCCAAACTTTTTGTTTCTTTTCGGTTTGGTGGTTTTCCAACACCTTTCAGGAGCCCCGTTACTCTTACAAGTGGGACACCAGGGTTCAAAACCATTGGCTCCTTCAGACAATTTAGACAAGGCCAGCCTTCGCCCCGATGTGTAAAGCTGAAAATATAACTGCACCTTGTTTATGCCTTAAGGGACTGATGATAATATAAGCGTATCAATCAAGATTAACAATCCATACGGCTTATCTCTAAGCTTGCCTCGTATACAGTTACGTAGAGTTACAACATATATTTGGAACACGTCAGCTCATAACAATCGCTACACATGAAGATAATCAGCATCAAGTTAGCCAGAATTTGCACACTGGATTCCTGGAATTGTCAGACTGTCATTAAGAGTTTCACGCACCGCATGCGGAAGGGCACGACTGACCTGTGTTTCTCTTCCCAGCATCAATTTTTCTTTCCCTGAAATTAGACTGAAGTGGATGCAGCTGCAACTCTATTTGATAAGTGATTTTGTCCATCAGTTGTTTACTTAAAATACAGAGCGCAAAATGGGACGTACAGAAATTTATTCATCAAAATTTTATTTGCCCATAAATTCAATATATGAAACCTCATTAGCCTGTCAGTCCAGAATTGCAAAAATGTTATATTTCAAAAGCAATTCCGCAGGGTTCTGGATCAGCTTTAGTAAAAGGGCTAGACTAAAGTAAAAGGGAAGTTTTAATGACAAAGGTTTACATCTTTATTTTCTGTTAACCGTCTGTTTTAGGACACCAACGCACAGTTTGCATCAGACAGCTGGAATGCAGGAGGAGGGTCTGGCTTTGCGTGCACTGTGTTTAACAGCAGCGAATAACAATGCTCCGCAAGCAAGCACTTATTATTTACAGGACTTGCATGGATAAAAACACAACTGCAATAATGCCAATCAATAGGGGATATAAAAGGAGCATAATCTTCACCACAGAATAGAGGAGAATTTTTTTTGCGTGCAGTTAAGGACCACACATAATCAATCATTGGATTAGATATAGTAGGAAATGCTTTACTATCCAGGAGTTCGCATGGCATCTACCAGCACCAACCCCGCGAACAGCTGAGGTTAATAGCTTTAAATCCTTCCCCTGAGCTGCAGTTTTACAAAGGCATTTCCTGTCAAAGACAAACGAGACACAAGTCTGAGAATATCTCATGCTTACACCAGGTGTAGCTCTGCTTGAGAACCTGCCCTGATCACCCCCTCAGCCACGTTCCCATGGAGATGAAGTAACAGAAAATTCCTGAACAAATCATAATATCAAAAAAAAAAAAAATTTAAAAAAAAAATTCCTTTCTCAGTATATATGAACTGTGCATTGAACACTGTTGTGTAAGCAATTTAAATATTTGGAGGGGGCTTCCAAAACAAAACAAACAAGGGAACCACCAAACCAAAAAAACCCTCTTACAGAGCCTCAGCATTTTCACTTTAAATACGGCACAAACTGTGAAGCATGGTTCTGATAACTGCAAGGGAAGGAGAACCCCGAGTCCCCGTGCCAATAGCTTTCACTTCACTTACGAAGCTTCAGTTTGCTAGAAACCAGACAATCTTCAACAGGCATCAAAACCTATGCTAGGGATTCCCACAAAGATTTCAGGAATTAGCGAAAACAACAAAACTTAAGCGGTGTCACTGTGTCTGCACAGTATTGGTTTAACACGCATGCATAATGACGAGTTTTTCAGCATAACTGCGCCTCAGTGCATCCACCCTCAAAAGCCACTGTTCCCCCCTCTTCCCTCTACAGTAACATGATGTTTTGGTGAAAACGTTCTCCCTGGAACTTGAACTCAAACTCATTTGGTGGACTTGGCAGCGTTCGGCTTACAGTTGGACTCGATCTCAAAGGGCTTTCCGACCTAAACGGTTCTATGATTTGCTGAATCCTGTGTCACTTCTTATTGATTGGTCATGGACTCCATTCAACAAGTCATTTTAAGAGCAGCATCATTTGTATTTACCAAGTTGCATTCATTGTCACCTGCTGCTAGCCCTGAGCTAATCAGGCAGAACCTTCAGTTAAATTTCCAAGTCTTTCTCCATAGATAGAAGCAGCAGAAATCCAAACTCCTTCACATTTGGATAGCAGTGATCCGACAGCAGCCCTATGATAGAAGTAGCTCCCTGCAACCATATTTTCCTGGTTATAAAACAGAGTATTTCTCAAAGTCCCCCCAAAGGAATTTTGCCACACAGTAACTTTCTTTAGCTTTTAATGAGAAAGATTTATGCAGGCAGCTGGAGAATTTTCACACAGCAGGCAGAGTTCAGGGCCAGCCCACCACCACCACATCAGCATCGGGAAGAGCGAGGCAGCACAGCTCCGTGCCCAGGCGGTCGCTTTGCCAGTGAGGAGCTGTCACAGTAACAGCTCTGTTGGAAGTTAACCTCCTCTTTCCTTTCACCTGTCCCAGAAGGGAAGCACATCATTCTCTCGGGATTAGACGAGATTAAATGCCTCTGGCTAATCAGCAGGCTCAATCCTGTTGCATATCTGCAAGTGCTCACTTGTGAGTTTTGATGAGCAGTTAGTATAGGAACCGGACTGGTATCTTAGAAAAACAACATAATGTTTCATTTTTACAACAGAAGAAGGAAAAAGTAAGATGAAAAGGATTTTAAAGCTATGAGAGGAGCACACACCTGCCCAACTTATTCAGAGGTTTGCCATTCCTTGGCTGAAACTCTAGGCTAATCTCCCATTAATTCAGACTCCTGGTCCATGATACCTGGGTCACAAAACTCATTTTCTCACTCGCTCTCTCAAAACCTTCCCTCAAAAATATTCCTAATGTCACTGAAACTCTTTGTGCTGCTTCTCAAAATTATCCAAGACTTCTGCCAGCATTTACAAGCTGTGACTCTCCTCTGTGAGAAAATACCCTCTGAGCTCAGGAAATCAAAACCAGGACAAGAAATGAGACAGGTCTTGTGCTGCCCCTCACGCGAGCAAAAGGCATCAGTTAAAGGCACTATGCATCTAAACCTGGTCAAATTAACTCGCTTAGTTTGTTGCTTTTGTAAGTCAGAAAGACTGTAAGAACGTTAAGTTCTTACGAGTATCTCCAAAAGACAACTAATAACTCTTGCAGCTGTGGTCGCTCAGTTGCTTACCCATGGTCTGCAACATCTATAGGCTTCTGCCCATTTCAACCTTTCTCAAGTTTTTGAAGAGAAACGTGCTGATAGGAATGAATCGACAGAGCTATGCACCGCTGGAATCTTCGCACCATGTCCTCAGCTGGCACCGCAATTGTTCGGAATCCTCTCTGTTGTTGGGTAAAAATATTGCTCTTCGAAAGCTCCTGCTATCTGCAGCCGCCTTTTATATCTTTCTGCCTAATTAACTTGGTATGTCATTCTGTAACAACTTTCTTTGATTTATCGTTCAATTTCTTTCACTACAGTATTATTTAATGCTACTGTATTATTTACAGCAACTGCAACATTTGGAATATGATTTGTATGAAGGACAATTTACAAAAAGTTGTACTGCACTATGTACTATTTCTGCTCTCTGAAGAAGCAGATATTTAATTCCCAGAACAGTAAATCCCTTAATCTGAGCAAACCTAGATATTGAGCTGGAATCTACAATGTAGTAAGTAGAAGATAACAATATTTTCACCTTTCTAGTTCTGATTAATAAAACGCTGTCCCAAATGCATAGTTCAAATCCTGTAATTCAATACTGCAGAGAAACTACAGGTCAGATGAAGCATTTGGATTAACAAATCTATCATTTCAACAAACAAGCTACACAAATTATGCACTCGCCTTCACCAACAGGGAAGATACTCACCATCTCAGAGCAATTTTGATCGGCGTAGTAAGGCATGATGTGAAAAGGTCAGCTGGCAGATCAGGGATCATGGGTAGCAATTCATTGGCTTCACAGGCTGCCAGCTGAATGCAGTTCTTCATCGAGGGAGGCAAAGGCATTTGAGCAAGTGGATGGTTTGGGTTAATTGCAGCTACCTGGAGAGATCAAGGAAATGACTCAGGTGGTGATTCAGTAAAGTTAATCTCTATACCATTTTGAGAATAACCAAGGAAGAGCTGTCAAAGTTCGACAGATCCCTGCATTTGGAGGAATTTACGACTATGGCAGCACCAGCCATAGTTCTAACTCACATACAGTTAACAGTATTGAAGTGTATTTACCATAACAATACCACACACCAAAACCAGCAACTTGCAACAGACTGAGCTGTGATCAACACTTCAGAGTCTTCAGTTCACATCTGCCAGCTTGGAATCAAGCACTGTAGAAGCAACCTGGGTTAATTATTCTTTCTTTTACATTTAAGCAAAAACCATCCTTCCTGTGGCTCATAACCATTCACCACAGATGGCAGAATAGCTTCAAATGGAAAGATGCAATTCATTTGGCTGTACTAGGCAGCATTTCCTGCCATAGAGCATAAAGATGACTCTTGTTGGTAAGCCAAAAGAACACTGAACTCCCTGTGTTTCTCCCCATACATCTTTCTACTTCACTAGAGCAAAAAGGTCAAGCTGGGAAAAGGAAGAGAGAAAATTACCGTATGGAAGTAGAGAGGCTATCTTCCAGAAAAAACCCACCAAAACAAACACAACAGAAAAAGAAATGTGCGCAGTCTTCTGCAATGCAAATATTAACCTATCAGCAGATACAAGTTTTAATCAGTGCTTTAGTAAAGGGTTCAAGGTCCTTATACATATTCCTCTGGATGGAAACAAGGCGGTAATTTCTGCTCCAAGCAGTGAACGTTACACAGAAAAATAACTCTAAAGTCAAGTCTTTGCGTCTCAAGATCTAGAACTATTCTAACAAGACATCATTTTCCAAGACTCAGTTAGTTTATATTTAAATGGGCATAATCACCTGTTTAAAATACTCAGAGCTGAGACACACGTCAGTGCAGATTTCACGCTAGCCACGGACTGATGGAGTGCATTGGTCCGATGGCATTTGTGCATCTGCAGACAAGCATGCTCTGCATGAATGCTGTTCAGCTCTTTCACTCCACATGCTGTAGGTCAACTTTCAAACAGCAAGAAAGAATGGGAGACAGAGCAGACACTTACAAGGGCATATTCAGTGCTTCTGTTAAAATCAGGGTCAAGTCTGCTGTGAAAGAGTTGAGGTTCTAAAATTCTGACCTGCACTATGGCAATCAATTAATCTGTCCAAACATCAGGCTATAATGCAGAAATACCATATATACCAATATTCCCATATTTCAAAACCACAGTGATTCTCCTAATTAATTTTTTTACTGAGAGTATGATTTTTCAGACTAATAATTCACAGAAAGAAAAACATAGATAATCTCTCCAGTGCCCTTCTGAAACAGGTAAACAAACTAATCACTTCAGCCACCCAAAATTTTGATCTCAAGGTTCTCAGTACTCAAAGGTTCTTAAAGGAACAGGTCAAAGAAATGTAACCCATGAGATGTCTTCATTGCCCTTTACGTACGAGTTAGAAAGCACAGACCTGTCAGTGATCTGCATGCTGAGTTATCAAAGATAACAGGAGTACGTACTTTCAAAGACCAACACTTCAGGCAGTTTCATTTTTTTGCCAACTGAATAAGGTGATACTGTTGACTAATAACTCATTCTTTAGCATCTTTATACGTGAAAAATTCTGTCTGAAGAGGAAATCCACCTGGTGTCTCAGAAGGGTCGATGGGGAACAGAATACTTGTGTTACAAACCCAGAGCTTGGCACAATCATATACCGCTTGTCGAGCAAAACAACCTGATAAGCTGCGGAGAAGTTTCAGATCCTATTTCACAATTCTGCAACCTATTAAGTTTTTTGATTCGTTAAACTTTTTTTTTTTTTTTTTTTCATTTTAATCCCAGAGGCAGCATTGACACGCCTTGGCTTTCTCAAGTTGTCCAAATTAGCTAAAACCTGTCCTTGCTCTCCGTTGAGTTATGCCGCTTTCAGCAAAGATTCATGCCGTACTTGGGTGGAAATGAGCTACAGTCAAGTCATCGCTTGTCCTCCAGTGATACTCACTGCACTTCTCAATGAAACTTAAGCTGTATGCTAATAACAAAAAAAAGGTAATTAAAATGCTGAAAAGATCTTTTATTTGAGGAGAAAGGCATGAGAGACAGTGTGGAAAAGCATTAGCTCTTCACAGATTTATAAATATAAAGCAGTCAAACTGCTTAGCTTGGCTATTTGTTTCCTAAAGAAAGACTTGCCCTCTGGGCTTCCTCATAAATGGGCTCTGTCGGTGGGAAGTACATTTAGACGGATTTTCTGCTTTCTGAGGAGTGTGAAACACTGACGACTTGACGTTCGTCGTGCTCTGGTAGTGCCCCTCAGTTCTGATGGCGAAGTAGCTCATACTCCAAGACCTGCTCAACTCTTGGCTTCTACGCAGTAAGACAAACTAAAGAAGCTGCGACACATGCAGTGTAAATATTTGTCCATTAGGAGATGAACTATTAATAACCATAAAGTGAACATACAACACCAGCTAGTAATTACAGATCTTCTCAGACTTCTAGGGATAATGATGTAGCAAAACATTCTTTTACAAGTAAAAGAAAGGAGGGGGGGAAAAAAAAAAAAAAAAAAAAAGAGGGTCGAGTAAAGCCCACTATGAACATTTATTTTTGCATCCTTAGAACATCCACTGAAGTCAGACTTTCTAGACTGCTTGGTTCCCTCAGAAATGTAACTTTTTATTCGGGCAAGATACAGAATAAGTAGAAGGCTAAAGAAAGATTAAAACACATAAATTGGCAAAACCAACCTCATTCACAACTGTAAGAACAGTAAATAAGCTATGTAAAGTTACCATATATGAAAGGTTATCAAAATTATCAATATGCATTTATCTACAATCTTTAATTGTTTTTTTTAATATATATGTCACCGGTTTCTGTAAGCAATCAACTGGACGTAGACCTTGCAGCAGGCCATAACTAACTCACAGCTTCTCTCAGCAGGCACACAGTCTCAAGGGGGTGGTGCATATTTTCCCACGTAAGATTTGTAAGTAAAAATTCCTTACTATCAACAGAGTACTTATCGTGTTACTTACTGTTATTTCAGGGCAACTGACAATCCACAGCCCTTCAGACAAAATAACAGTGGTAATATTAATTTATCAATTATACTGCCATATGTGATCGTAAGATGGTGGTGATTAATTTGTTCTGAACACAAATGATAGCTGCCCAAGCTAAGGATTGAAAACCACTCAGGTTTGCTACTTGCAAGTGCTGTCTATCTGGCGGAAAAGCTAATGGATTTGCAAGTACTACCACCTGTACTTAGCAGAGGGGGAAACAATACATGTATTTTAAACCACTGGTACTGAAAACATTTATGCACCTATATAATTCGTCTTAGAAACAAGCACTTGGTAGAAAACCAACCCTCTTTGAATTAACAGACGTGCTCAAGGTAAACTTAGGAGGAACTCTGCCCCAAGACAGAGACTGGGAGTTGTTATTTCAAGTGTTGACCAGACCTGCCAGCTTCACACAATTTCTGCTGTGAGAATCCTCTTCCCCTTGGAAGATATTAAGGCAACTACAGAAAAGGAGAATGTTCCTCTCTCCCAGCAGATGGTGGATTAGAAAAATTCTCCCCCCAGACACGATGCTAATGCCAGATAACATTCTGCTGTGCTGTCGTTAAGCTAATTTTTTGAGAATTAATGTTGAAGTCCTCCAATGAGGACTAGTTAGTCATATGCCCTGCTGAAGGGGAAAGCGAACAGGCGCTCCCACCGCAACACCGATTCCTACACAAAGAACAAAACACGTTAGTCTGCAGCTGTAAGGTACGCTGTTGAAAAATTCGAACCATAAAGTTGAAAATCAAAAAGTTGCGTCTCGTGCAGCAAAGCACACATCTAGGAGACGTATTTCAGCCTTCACCTCCGTGCATCTCAAATGTGGCCTGAGGACAGCAGACCTTTGCTGTATGATGATCCAAGGATGAGTCAGAGGAAGCACAATGTCACAATTGCACAGAAAACTCATCGGAAATAACCAGCCTACTGTTTTATCGTTGTTAGCACAGCACACTTAAAGTGCCTGCTTAATTCTCCAGAATCGCGGCGTACACGCTCACAGCGCCATCGGAGCCAGCTAATTAGATGCTCACGAGCACCCAGCGGCAGCGTTCCCACCGCAGGCTCCAAGCGGAGCCCAGAGCTCCAAGGCAGGCTTAGCAAGGCGCCTTCTACGCAGGTTGCTGCCTGCTCTCTAGGCGTCCTCTCGCCTGCCGTTTTCTCGTATTTCTTACTGTGCCACGTCACAACCACATCATGCTGCTACATGGGTGGTTCTTACCTATAAAATATGTACGTCTGTACGTATTTCTCTGAAACCACAGTCCAGGGAAACCGCCGGTCCCCATATCAATAGCATCTAACCTAAAGTTTGGAAACGCTGTGACACGTGAGGAATGATGGGGGTTGGTAGACTTCATTAGCTTAATTGCTGCCCTATAAATGCACAATCCAGAGCTGTAATCAAATGACAAAACCATCTCCACATCTGCCCATTCCCCATCCCACCGAAAACCAGCCACAGCTGAACTGTCTCTGCCGTCGTCAGAGCGAGATCTTCTGCCTTCACCCTCACCTCGCTCAGAGCAGCGGTCTTGCAAAGATAAAAACTATTCTCAGACGCAGCCTGTCCCCCAGGATAAGATATGACAGACTCCTGCCTCTGGTACACAAAGTCGTCTTCTTACGGAAACCAATACGCTTCTTTCTACCTGCACAGCTTTTCACTCGCACACATTAGCCATACTTTATTTACTAACAAAAGGGGAAAAAGAAAAGTATTTACTATTCAAGTGCTTTTCTGGAGGCAGCTCTTAGAAGAAGACAATGTACCATGCAGTGCTACAACATTATCTTCTCTCAGGTATCTTAGAGAAGCGTTAACTGCTTTTCTATCACTCCCAAGTTATCATTTCTTTTTGTGCTTCCTCTCTTTGGAGACTGAACAGGATTTAGATTTTACACTAAGAAAGAGTACCAGCCATGAACAATGAAAGCCAAACATGACAGGGTTGCAAACATACCTGTAAGTATTTTGTAATTAAATTTTACGTTTCTGGTGGAACTATGTATAATCTGATGGGACCTGGCCAGCGCTCTGTGCTATCCAAAATAAAAAAAGGGATATCTCCCCCCAAAAAAACCCCCAAAACCACCAGCCATGGCTTCCCTCAGCCTTCACTCTGTCAGATTAAGAGAACAGCAAGCTCCTCTAATCTCCTTTCAGTAAGATGGGCTAACAATTATCTTGATCACTCTAGCAGCCCCTCTGAGTAGCAGTTCCAGCTTTACTTCACTCTTCATGAATTTGAACAATTCAATAGTTTATAGTTTTCCAAATGAATTCTCATCCATGCTTTGTATGACACTGTAAGCACTTTTCTATCTCTGTTACCAAGTCGTCTGCCTTCTCTTAATAATACGCAGTTATCTCAGTAAGACTTCAGTAGCGAATGAAATCTAAAGATACAGAACGGAAAGCTGACATACAACCCCGAAAGTATTTTCATAATCAAATTAACTGGTAGTTTTAACCTGTGTTGCAAAGAGAAGAAATACTAAAGCAGTTTTCCTATGTAACCTCACGTATTTTGCAAAATCAGAAAACCAGAGCAAATGGAATATAAAATTTTCGTTGGAATAAAGACTGTCGTCGTTATTTGCGCTCATCTCTCTCACCGTAGCCAACCAGCCCTGTCTGCAGATGGTCTGGTTCCTCTGACTTGCAGAGAGGAGCTTCTCCTGCACCAGCTTCACCTGAGCAATTTATCTGTCACACAGCAGCAACCAGCAGAGACACCTGCGGCTGCCTGCCTTCCAAACCAGCTTCAAAGCCATTCTAGAGCTCAGCAAGAGCCAAGGAAAAAAAGGAAATTCAGGAAGAAAGCAGGGAAAGGGACGGTAAAGATAGGCTCATTTTTAACCTGCTTAGGAACAGAATGCGAAAACAAAACAAAAATCCAGAAGGGTGCGTTGAACAAATGAAAGAGAAAGGCTTCTAAAAATATCACAATGAAAGTCGCAGGCTGATAGGAATACCTGAAAAAGGAGAACAGAATATGACCACCAGACATCTTCCTAGACTTAAAAAGATGGTAACCTTCCAAAGGCATCTATTACCAATACTGCTGATCCGTGCCTTGCAGTCTCAGGTTCTTCCCAAGCCACAGACTGTGGGGAGTTTCTTATCTCTACAAGGTATGGCATTATCAGCGGCTGAAGAGAAGGACTAATGAAGGGATCTACATATCTCTAGCTATTAGACTGGTCTCTGTTGGTAGAATGGAATTTCCACCTGTCAAAAGAGTCACCACAAAAGCACCTCCAAAAAACCGGAATTTAGAATGAAAATAATTAGAGCCAGGGATACTGTTAATATCTACTTGAAGGCTGTCTTTGTGACAGTCAGTTTCCTGATTAATTAATATTCCTTCCTTGAAGTAATTTTGGGTTTTTTTAAAACACAATGTCTTACAACTGTGAGAGTTTAAGAAGTTAACCTTTAAAAAATGTGCTTTCTATGTAAGCTAAAGCTAGCAGGAATTTCTGGCGATAGGGAGTCTTGCCATCCCAAGCTGCCGCACAAAGAATCCTGACTTCTTACCTTCCACTTTGCATTTCAGATTTACTTCAAGAAAATTATTAGCAATTACATTTGCAATGAAAGACAGCTTTTCGCTAGAAACACTTTCAACGTAAGCAGTCTGCGAAACTGAAACCGCTGGTGACAATCCCTCTGTGTATCAGGTTTATTTTCTTTTCTTTCACATTTTCACATTCAGTTCAACAGCACAAAACTCTAACTACGTCCAAATACATTCCCAGATACCAGACTTTTGCAATTAAAATAAATGTCTAGTTCACCTCAGCATTTATCTCAGCAGAAAAGACCATTAGGGCACAAATTGATTCTATTAACATTACCACTTAATTAGTGCTTGTATTAAAAATTATTCCAAGTTTAATAGGATAGCAAACTGAACTGGAAAGATTGGAGCGGCAAAATTGTTTGCAAATTAATTTGCCTTCCAACATAGTTTTAAAGTTATTTTTCAGCTGTATATAGCAAAGCAAGCTTAAACGTAACCCTGCGGCACAAACACGAAGGAACCCTTGGCAATAGACTGCGATCTCACCTCCAACTCCTGCTCCCTCTGTAGTGCAAACTGTTTGAATGACTTGACAATAAGGCCAGCGTTAGAGCAATCATAGACGAAAATGGAAGGACTGCCCATCCAAGTCTGCAGGTCATATATGGACAGGGGAATATACTGAGTATAGTTCTAGAAGAAGAAAAAAAAAAAACACTCGAGTTAAAAAGAGGCAGAGAAGCAACTGAACTTTCATTGGTGAGATAATAAAATAAACACAAAAAAATTCCAATTCTGAAATCACAAAATGAAACCTAGCTTGAACATTGGACATATTAATCAATACAAATACCAATCAACATCTACTAATAATGAGGACTACGAACCCAACTCCAACACAAACGACAAGTAGATTTTATTGTGGTATTGTTTGAAACGCTAAACTCTAAACTAAAATTCTAAAACTCAAAGAGTGCTCTGATATGTGCTAACCACCCCAACCAGCATTTAACAGCCCAATTTTATCTCAAATTTCTGCAACACTGATAAAGGATGTAAAGCAGCTGTCTTTAATTTAACATCAAATGTCTTAAACTGGAAACTCCATCAATAAATCAAGACCGGTAATTAAGACTATGTAGCCCATCACCAGCCACCCCATCCTAGTTTAATGAGATGCTTCATAATTTTATTACAGCCTTTAACTTCTGCGCAACTTTCAGAATTATCCAATAAAATTAAAACCCACTAAGCCTGCCTTCAACAAACTGAAGTACCAACAATTTGGTTTCTGTAAATAGGAAGTATTTTGTTCCTTCTCTTCCACCTTAAACCCCCCCAAATAATTGGAGGCAAGACCTTCTTAAAAGGAGGATCAAAAATTAGACATTTAAAATTAGCTACGAAGGGCCACACCCTAAACTAAGTGGCAGAACTGAAAAACAGAAACCAAAGCAGATTTCTGCCATTTGAGCCTGGGAAGGGTCCCCACCAAACACAGAGCGGCTGGCTGCACGGTCTGCAGCCAGAGGGCAACCTGGTCATGTTCCCACAGCGCTGAACTGCCCAAAATCCGCAGTAAAAGCCGTGCTCTTCCTATTAACATCAGCAGAATGATGGATGGGATCACAACTCCCATTTAAATTCAAGAGACTTAAAATAGCTGTAATAAAACCAGTAAACTTTTACAAAAATCAAATTTTCAAGGACACATATCAGCGTATATAAAGACAGAAGTGATCATAAACCATATGTTAGATAAGGTAGGAAACAGTAAGTCATTTCAAAATCCAGTTTTGCCCGTATATATAGAGTTTCGGTTGTTTCATTAAAAAAAATAGGAAAAATTGTTTATAAAAGCCAAAGTTTTAGGGAGTTAGGAGCTTTGCAAATTGTTGCAAGATGGAACGATACATGAACGACTCACCCTTGGCACAGACCTTTTCTAAGGACACCGCTCAGTTTAAGCACGTTCCAATCATAGTAAGCTACATACAAAAAAACCTGCTCTGACACATAGAATCGATGAGATTGTATGGGCCCGCGTCGTTTTAACTTTATATTTATAATGCATATTGCTACAGTTAAGATTGGATTATAGCTCTGATTAATACTGTGATATTTCAAAACAGAAGAATTTTGTGTTCCGATTTTACTGTGGGGGTCACATATAACTTATCAAATTTGCTAATGATATGTAAATGAGATAGTTTGAAGAAAAAAGGAGTGTTAAATACTAGTTTTCTGGCATGGCTGCTCAGGGTGATCTTTTGATGCTTGATCATCTTGCCTCTGCCATGCTGGGGCTGTGAGTATGAAAGAACTTGTCTGTAGGTTTTGTTCTCAGCATCGACTTTGCTTTTAGCAAGAAAGTTTTGCTCTGTTAACACGACTCCCAACATCCCTCTGTGACTGTTTAAAGGAATGACACAACGAACAACTAAACCAGAAACTGATTTTGAACAAATTTCATAACCAATTGCTTAACAAACCACTCAAAAATATTTTAAAAATAACATTCTTCAGATTTTGCAGAGAAGTTCCTCAGAACTTCAGAATAAACATGTTTGAAGTCGGGGGTTTTTGGTTTTTACCTTTTTGAAACCACGTTGGGATTTTCTCAGAAAACAGTAGCAAGCAAAACTAGAAAGAGAACATTGCTCCTTATTAATACAACAGCACTCACAATGAATAGAGGAAAAGCATGCCGTTGCATCTGCAAAATCTGGCAAAACGCCAGATAATGCCAATTTTACTGCTTTACAAGGACTGCCTCATCCCTTCCTTTGCACGCCAATACTGCAGAGCAAGCCAGAGCAGGAAGCCTACAGTAAAATAATGTACAATTCCGTAACTCAATACTGGCTTTTAAAGCGTGTCAGCAAGAGCAGCCAGCTACAACAACGAGCCGTGGCAAGCTTCTACAGCACGGGGGAGGGCTGCAGCTTCTGGCCCTGATTTGGTCAAAGAGGGGATGTTTCCACAGAGCTGTGGGCAGGATGAGTGCTATGTAAATAGCTTCCAAAGGACCTGACAGGAACACAGTGATGATGCATGTTCTGTTTCGCATTCTCACATTAGCAGCAGAATTTGCTTCTGACAATGCACACATTTCGGGTCTTTTTGCACAACAGTAAGACGTAACAGACCCAGGAAAAGGACATTTTCAAAATAATCATTCCTTCCAAAGCATGGTACAATTTCTCTTTCCATTTCCTATCAAAGATGAAATAATGCTTGAAGAGTATTCTCTAAAGAGACTTCGCTAAAGCTGAAAAGCTTCCTCAGAAGGTTGCTGTGTTCAGCTTCTGTCCTGGGATTTCTGAACTTCAGGGAATCCTTCAGAATCTCAGGAAATGAACCTTGTGGCAATGAACCTACAGGAATCCATCCCCAGTTCTTTCTGTGCATCTTATTATCTCTCTAACCAAAAGAGTTCAGGAACGTTTTGTTTGTCGAGCTGCAAAGCAAAAATTAACAAACTAAAGCCCTGTAAACGCCTTCACGTGCTGCCTTGTAGCAGCACTGCATTTCCTGAGCAGCTGTGATTAAAAGCTAGGGAAAAAAAATTACAACCGAAAATACTTTCTGCTTCCCTTAATGCCGTCTCTGACCCCACGAAGGTACCGAGCTGAAGCAATTTCCGAAGCGCGTGTTTCGAGGGGAGGAGGAAGGGCGCGGGGAAGAGGAGCGGGCACCTCCCCGCGCTCGCAGCCCGTGCTGCAGGGCAATGCTGCCAGAGGCACGCCTCGCGGCCCTCGCCTTTTCTACGGAGCGTGTCTAGAAAGTCCGGTTTAAATTCTAATAAAATGAATGCAGATGAATGTCAGATTATTTATTTACTACCGTCCTCTTCATCTGTCAGGCTAGATTAGGTATCCAGAGGAAAGGCTTGCTTCATAGGCGAAGCCCGAAAGGTGAAGGTAACCACAGAGGTATTTACACTACAGCAAGCACAACTTGTCAAAACCCATAAAAAAATTAAACTCAAGGAAAAACTGTCTGTAGGAGAGAAGGCAGGTTTGGTTTTTAAAGACCATGTTAGTTCAGCTACTAGCTTTCCAAGTGCCTTATCCAAATCGTACCATACCGCTTCCTCTTCCGCACGCCTTTCCGGCAGCGCTTGACCGCTGTTGAGCAAAGCGACCGAGATGCGCAGCTGAAGTGAACCAGGCTACGTGATACTTCCCAAAGGTTTTATCTTTTTTGATCTACATATCAGAATATACCACGCTTAATGTCTCCTGAACACACTCCTGCCATGAGGAAGGCTTCTTACAGTGCACAGAGATCAGCTGCAAATTCCGGGGTCTCCCTCCGGCAGGGCAGGGGACAATCTGCGAACGCTCCGGCAGCGCCGCAACCCCGCCGTCGGAGAAACAGCGGAGCCGGAGCAGGGCTCCCCATCCCGGTGCTCCTGGGACACCGAGAACATGTCGGTCCATCTGCCCGGCCCTTTGCCAACTAATTCAACCAGTTACAGCAGCAGACAGTTTTTTCGGAAGAG